AGATCGTGCTGCGGTCGAAGCAGGAAATGAAAGAAAATTAATGTCGACGTACGAAGGGGGTGTACTCTCGCGTGTTTCGACGTTTTCACGGAGTTAATTGCATTCGTCGCCTTAACATAAAGCTCTCCTCGTTATTTTTTTTATTACTAATCGTAATAGTCTGGAAAATAAAATCAATTTGCAACGATTCCAAACAATGCATACATTTGTATCTCATACATAACATTTGTGCTTAGATGCTTATATTAGTTAGGAAGGATAAGTGTTTCTCCTTTTGAGAGAATAGAAATTCCTTTAGTATAATTAAATTATCATATAATCAGAGATAATAAAGTTCATTTCAGAATTAAAATTTTCTTTATCGTTTTTCGTGAAATTAAAATCTATTTATAATATGAATTTACGTGATACGAAGGAGTATAAATTTGTATTTCCCTTTCTCTCACTCTCTCTCTCTCTCTTTCTCTCTTTCTCTCTTTCTCACGGAAAAGGGTACGTGAAAAAAATTGTGTTTTTTTTCTTTTTTTTTCATTTATCGGAGAAATTCATTTACTAATTAGTATATCATTAATCAGGCGAGCTTAGCCAAAGTCCGTTTAGAAGGTGTTCATATTGCGTTTAAATGTCTTTAGAGAATTTGAAGGGAAAATTCGTGAGGAGGAGGAGGAGGAGGAGAATGGGAGGTGGTGTGGAGAAGGCGCGTGATAAACGAAAACGTGTGATAGCAAAGCGATGCTCGGTTTCTTGTTAGGCGATATGCTCTTCAGCGTTCTTCAACGAACGATAATCGAGGAAGATGGGATGGGCATCGGTACGGACGATGGAGATAAGGAGTAAGTAGGTACAACCGAGAGGATAATACCGCTAATCGTCCCGTACCTCCCATGTATTCTCAGTTGGTGCTCGCTTGGCAAGCTGCGATTGATAATCGTTCGGGTAACGTTAAAGCAAACCCTTTACCATCAGCACGTCGTTTCGTTCAAAGCTTTAAGCCATTTTGCTTAAAAGGTCAACGAAACTTTAGCTCGTAGCTTTGGAAAGCTACGGAAGGGTCGGTCCATCAATCCTTAACGGGCTGCATCGATTTTACCAACCATGAAGACCGACTTTAGCTGTTTTTAACTTTTACGATAACTCGAATGCAATACGAAAAGGCGTACATCGTCATAGAATTTCTATTAATGTCATTCCCTTTGATCCGGAAACGAAAAGAAAGAGAGAGAGAGAGAGAGAGAGAGAAAGAAAAAATGAAAAAAAAAGAAAAAAAAGAAATGCAGCAGATAAAAAAGAATAAGAAATAGTTTGAAATTATTTATGATGGAACATAAAACGTTCTGATCATTTGATAGAAATGTAAGTTGAAGTAGTAATTTTGGCGCTTAAGAAGAAGAAGAAGAAGAAGAAGAAGAAGGGGTGAGGAAACCTATTTAGAAATACGTTTAAGGTTCGAATCAACGACGGATGTGGATTGGGGAAGGATGGGAGCTCCGTTGTTTGTTCCGTCTTTGATGTTGTTTCTGATGTTGTCACAGCTTTCGGTTGTGTACAACTTGTATTCAATGAAGGAAGACGAGCTTACCCTGTGTTTACGTAGTCGAGGCTTCGGGGAAGAAAGGACCGATGCCCGTTTGAAAGAGAGAGAGAGAGAGAGAGAGAGAGAGTCCATGGTCTATGAAATTTCAGTAGTTTAGTCTCGGAGAATCGAGAATAAACGATCTCGAACGATCGATTTCGAGAATAAATATCTACGTAATAAAAAATTTCTCTCGATACGACAAATCTAATCGGTATCGAGATCGAATCGATCGAATCGATCGAATCGACTGAAGAAAGAGATACGAATAACGCGTAGACGAGAGGGTGGGAATGGGACGAAAGAGAGAGAGAGAGAGAGAGAGAGAGAGAGAGAGAGAGAATAAGAAGATAAAAAAAAGAGAGAGAGAAAGAGAAGTTCAGCTTAATAGGACGACATCGGTGATCGTAAACTAGTCGACGGACGTCGATATTGAATTACTCAAGAATTGTTCGAACTTACTACCACTGGCTATCATTGTTGCAGGAAACAAGAGTTTGTAAGAATAGCTCTTCTAACTCCTGTCAAAAGGTATATATACTCTTGGTTGTCGTAGAAATGCGAAAGCACTGTGTTCTATAGACAAGGGAGAAAAAAGAGAAAGAGAGAGAGAGAGAGAGAAAATAAGGGTGCCTTTACACGGTCACGAGAAACACGTTGACGTTTCTGATGCCGATCTATAAAATAGAGAAACGGCTGAATCTTCGAAGCAGATGGCGGTATTCCGCGTGCGAGAAGTCATGTACGAACGTATATAGGTAATGCGATAGAGAGTAGGAAGATAAAAAGGAAGAAGTAGAAGAAGAAGAGGAAGAAGAAAAGAGAGAGAGAGAGAGAGAGAGAGGTAGCTAGCTAGCTCTGAAAATAAGTTTGAGGCGGTTATGGGGGGCCACGAGCCTTAACAAAATTCTTTACAAGTCGAGCGAAGCCGTTCTTTATCCGATTTCATCGTAAAACCCGCACGTAGCGAAACACAATGAGTATGAGAGAGACAGACAGACAGAGACAGAGAGAGACAGAGAGAGAGAGAGAGAGACAGAGAGAGAGAGAGAGGGGAAGAGAGAGAGAGAGAGAGAGAAATAGTACAGATAGAATCGTCCCACGTTTTAGCCGGAAGTTTATATCATAATCTTATACGCGGATACTCTCGAAGGAGGAGGAACACAGCTTAAATCTTAAATTTCTCTGAAATCCCGTTATCCGCTTCCGTCATAATTCCGGCCGCCAGAGGGGTTGGCGAGACGCTCACAATAGTTTTCCATGAGAATCCAGCACCTTTTCAAGGTAAAATTCATATTAACGCGGCCGGATGTTTCAGGAAGTGGTAGTGGAAGTGTGAGATACACATGCCTTCTCTCTCTCTCTCTCTCTCTCTCTCTCTCTCTCTCTCTTTCATTCTCTCTCGGTGTGTGTACGTATCTCTCTCTCTCTCTCTCTCTCTCTTCCCTTCTTTCTCTTTCTCTGCACGTGAAATTAACCCAAAATTCTATTACCCGTGTCCCCACTTAATTTGCAATAAAACCATGAGATTTTAACATCACTTCACCGTAACGTATTCCAGCGATGATCCTGTGGGACGAACGAATTTTAACGTTCCCTTTTAGTCGTCCTTTTCCTCCATCTACTCCTTCTTCTTCTTCTTCTTCTTCTTCTGGTAATTGCTTCAAG